CGCCGCAACCGGTGGCTTCGGGCCGCCGTTGAAGGGGCCGGCCTCCGGGCGACGCCGCGCGACCCGCGCGGACCTGCTCAGGGTCCCGACCTGCCGCTCGGGAGGCCGGCGACCGTTTCGGTTCCTGTTGGCGAAGTCTGGTTTTGGACGCCGGGAAGGAGGCGGCGGACGGGCGAGCGGCGTGTGCTCGCAGGCCAGGCCTGATGTGTGCGGAGCGGGAACGCCGAGCGAGGGCAGAAAACGTTCCCGCGGAAAGGATGTATGTTATGTTAAGTTTTTCCCAAGATGTCAGCTGTTCACGTGGGGTCGAGGCTGAGCCGTCAAGCGCAGGTCACCTCCAGATCTCGCTGTGCTGGGGAGTGGGGGGGACGCTCCGGCCAGAAGACCGGCGTTTATTCGGTGGGCCGTTCGCAGCGGGTCGCTCCAGGCTGGCCCCGAGTGACGCGGGGAGTCCTGCTTCACAGGGACCTTGAGAACCGAGTGCCCGTCGAAGAGATGTGGAAGGAAGTGGCATGGATTTTGTCAGTCTCGGCTTCTGCCTTCTCTGAACCTCGCGGAAAAGATGTCATTCCTCACTTTATTCGCATCGGAGTAAAACGCCTGGACGGGTAATCCTTCATTTGCAGGGTCTTGAGAGGTCGAAGGAAAGCGGAGTGGTGGCGTCGTGCGCACACGTGGGGGCCGGTGACTGGGGTTTGGAGGCGGCTCGGGAGTCGCTAGGCCACAGGTAGATTCCGAGTTCAGATTTGTTTGCTGTGTCAGGAAAATAGCGGCCTGCTGGAAACGGGAGGAGCGCCAGGTCAGGAAGCAGTTGTGTCTCTGCCGTCGTTGTAGACCGGCTGCCTTATCTTGGGGACATTTCTTAACCTTTCGCAGATGGGATTTTCTTTACTTTCTTTTCAAAAATTGAGATGGGTCATCTTTTTGTGTGCGTTTGCTTCCAAACGCCTGGCGTGTTTTCCAAATGAAAGACTTTGAAGAAAGCGCAGTCGGTATTTCGAAAGGTTCAGAAGTTCTCACAGTATGCACCTTTATTAAAATACATTTGCGAAAAACATCTTGGTAGCAAAGTTCAGGATAATCTTGTATGGCTTATTTGAACCAAGGCATTTAAGAATGTGTTTTAAAATGATATATAAATATATATATGTTTAGATTACAGGTCAATGGCTTTTCCATACACACACGCACACACCCCCTTATAATGACACTTGAATTAAAATGCAGAGCATTTTCAGGCCCCCAAAGGGCTCATCCTGGGTCCTTTCTATTCAGTAAACACCTCCCTCCTCCCTAGAGCAACTAGGATTCTGACTCCTATCAACACAGGTTAGTTTTGCTTTAAAACAGGACCTTTTTGAGGGTGAAAAGGGGTAACATTAATAATTAAACTGAAGGACAGCAGGTGTGTAAATGGTGAATTGCACCCATTCATGATCCTAGGCCTTTAAAGTGATAGTTAGGTTTTTCACCATCTAGAATCACTTAAATGTAAAATTAGAATCCGAGAGCTTTTCTTTCTAGAAGGTCACTCTTGAGCCGAGGCAATGCTTTGTAGGTTTGGATCTGTCGTTTTGGGGAGCGGTTAGGTTCACAGGTGCAGTGTTAATCTATTACTTCCCGTTTGCAGAATGCAGGTGTATTTGTAGACGGTCTTAAAAGATAAATCATGGGAACCAGCAGTTAGCGTAATGGCTATGTCGCTGGACTCCCACGTAGTCGACCGCGGTTTGTGTCCCGGACCCGGTGGCTTAAACTCACGCCGGGCGCGTGTGCGTGCGTGCCCAAGATCCCGAGAGGAGAATGGAGGAGAAGGGATTGCAGCATGGCCATCCCCCCTGGGGGGTGATTTCTTGCTTTCTGTCTCTATGTCTCTCTCTGTCTGTCTGGCGAGCGCACGTGCCCTACAGTGAAAATCTCTCAAAAAAAAAAAAAAGATAAATCATGAACTTCCCCAGCAAGTCAGAGTTTAAGGTATCAGTGGGTGAACCAGTTCCTTAAACCCTAGAATTTGCTGAGAAAATTGAATGAAAATTGATTTTTGAAAGCTCAGTGAATTAAGTGTGTATAAAGCCTTAAAGACCTTTTAAATGACAGCAGTTAGCTTGATTTATATATATCGGATATTCACCTGGCTTATCAAATCATTAAAACCCCGGCAATGAAGTCAGAGACGGAAGGTAAGTAAACGTTATGTCACGTGGGATTTCTTTTTGTTTGGTTCGGTTTTTGTTTCAACATGACTAAGATACCTTTTCGTATTAGACCTCTGTATGGTCAGGTGAGTCTTCTGTGCCCTCCGTCGATGGAAGTACTGCAGCAGCGTGCGTCTTCCCCCACGTGTCTTTTACCCTCCTCGTGCCCTTTTTGGTCTCCACTGCTAGTGGAAAGGCAGATGTAACTCAGTTCTCGTTTTTGTTAGTTCCTAAGCGAGGCCTGTGTTTTTACTGCAAGAACTTGTGTGTGATACACCCTTAGGAAGTTCTAAGGCTGGGTAGGGATGCGGGGAGGACAGTCGGAAGTTTCCTCGTGGGCAACGATTTCGCCTAGTTCCGTCTTTCCGTGTCCGAGTTAGCCAGCTGGTGGCCGGCTGACAGCCAGATCTGGTCAGCCCATCTGAGCTTCACAGCCTCGTTAGCCAAGACCGTAATTGACGGTTCAGCTCCGACTGACGCACCCTCGTCGGTGTGTGTATATGGCTCTTTTTAGGTTTCTTGTCTTTTGAGTTATCAGATTGTTTCATTTAAATTTATTAATTCTTTTTGTTTTTTTTTGGAAGAGGTTTTTTGCTATAGGGCGCGTGCGCTTGCCAGAAAGACAGAGAGAGAGAGACAGACAGACAGAAAGCGAGAAATCATTCCCCAGGGAGGATGACCACACCACAATCGCTTCTCCTCATTCTCCTCTCAGGATCTTGGGCACGCACACACACCACCTGGCGTGAGTTTAAGTCACCGGGTCCAGGACTCGAACTATGGTCAACTACGTGGGAGTCCAGTGACGTAGCCATTATGCTAACGCTGGTCCCGTAAAGTTGATTAATTCTTTAAGAGATGCAACTAAAGGGATATAAAATGAGAAACAGAAACTATACATACAGGGAATTTCCTCTTTATAATATTTGTTGTTCTGTTAACTCTGATTTTTTTCCTTTAAAAATGCTTTGTGGGGCCAGCAGGTGGCGTGGTGGTTTGGATGCTAGACTCCCACATGGCCGATTGTGGTTCGAGTCCTGGACCTGGTGACTTGCTTTCTCACTTTCCCTCTCTCTGTCTCTGGGGAGCTCTCATGCCCGATAGTAAATTGAAATAATAATAATAATGGTAATAAAAATGCTTTGCCTAGGGTCCAGCAGGTGGCATGGTGGGTAAGGTGCTGGACTTCCACATGACTGACCACAGTTTGAGTCCCTGACTTGGCAGCTTGGTTTCTCTTTCTCTCTCTCTCTCTCTCTCTGTCTCCCTCTGGTGAATGCAGGTGCCCTATAGCAAATGTAAATAAATAAATTAATTAAATTAAACAAATAATTGTATACAAATGCTTTGCTTATTATCTTACTGCTTCTTAGGGTACTTTTGCTCTTACAGAGGTGACTAGATGGGGCTTAGCTACAGAATGATCGAGTAGCTGCAGGTGTCATTTAATTATTATTATTTTTTTGAGAGGTTTTTGCTATAGGGCGCGTGCATTTGCCAGAAAGACAGAAAGTGAGAAATCACCCCCCCCTGGGGGGGATGGCCATGCTGCAACCCCTTCTCCTCTATTCTTCTCTCAGGATGTTGGGCACGCATGCACACGCGCCCGGCATGAGTTCAAGCCACTGGGCCTGGGACTCAAACTGTGGTTGACTACATGGGAATCCAGCGACATTACCATTATGCCAACTGCTGGTCCTGGTATTTTATTTTTAAATAATTATTTTATTTAACTTTATTTATTTATTTATTTTGATTTGACCCGAGAGGGACAGAGTGAGAGAAAGAGAGAGAGGGAAAGTGAGAAAGCAGTCATCCAGTTCTGGGACTCGAACTGCTGTTGGCCACGTGAGAGTCCAACACCTTAACCACCACGCCACCTGCCAGCCCCAAGACTGGTATGTTAAATGCTCAATATTTTTTTATATTTTATAATTTTCCCAAACTTTACATTCTGGAATTACTTGGCTAGTAACCAATATTTCAGAATAATTTAAATTGAATAAAAGACTATGTAATCAGTAAACGGTTTTGTTATGGTGTGGTATTTTTCTTTCGATAAATAGCATTCGTTATTTTTCTGGGGTGTTTTGTATTTGGAAACAATATTTCTCTCTCTCTCTCTCTAGTTGTTAAATTGGATGAAAGTCTCTGGGGATTTGGGTTACCTGGGAGATTTTAAACCATTAGACTTTGGGGAGTAGGGTTTTGATAGGACTCGACAATTCTTCAAGTCATACTAGCCCCACTGGAAAATGATTTAAAATAGAAAGGCTGTGGTCAGGTCCTTGCAAATTCACGTTTAAACTTTTCACAAGTGGGAGGAAGGATGAGAGCGAAGACCAGTTATTAATAGAAAAATTATGACTTCACTGTAGGAGTTTTAACAAGTTTGATTGTAAGCATTTCCCTATAATTCAGATTTACGTGTGATTATCCCCCCGCTTTTTTCCCCCCTAATTGACAGAGGGATATGCACATTCACCAGAGTATGACAGGCAGGGGGTAGGGGGAGCACCCCCACACACACACGCAGTCATGCCACAGTCCTTTCCCTGTGTCTGTCCATTCTGTCCAGGTGTTGGGCACATGCGTCCGCACCTGGTGTGCACCTCAAGCCTCTGGAGCCGGGACTCAAACCGTGGTCAGCCGTGCAGGCTCTGGCTCCCTAAGCTGATAGGCTACGGGCCAGCCCTGTAATTACTATTTATAGTCTGTTCTACTCAAGAGAATGTTTATAGCCTTATTCAGCTTTCTTCATCTTTAGTGATCACTCAAGGACTTTATTTTAAAACAAGAAGAATTTGCTATATCTGTTGTGTTAAATGATGTGTTAAGTCCCGGTTGAACTTTGTGGTTTGGTAGTTGAATAACTTCGGTCAGCGGAGCACTTCGCTGTGCATGGAGAGGCCGTGAGGTGGCATTTCTGACATGGCGTAAGCTCTGCCTGCCATGGCTCCTGTTTGATGTTTTTGCTTGGTCCAGACAAAGGTTAATTACTAAACTTGATTCGGGGCGGGTAGGGTAGTTGAGAGTATGTGCTTTGTCTGGGAGCGTTGCTTTCTGGTCTCGGATGACTATCTGAGAGGGCCTTTGATGAGAGATGGAAGGTGGTTTGTTGGCAGTTGAGAGCGTGCGACAGTCACACCTTCGGAATGACAGCGTGAGACGGGCTGAGGAATTTAGCAGTTATTAAAATGCCTCCAGAGTTTTTCTGGCTGATACTCAGTTTAAAGTGTTAACCAACAAGTACTTTGATTTGAATTCCAAATGACTTTTTTTGTAATACTCTCTAAATATTTTTAAACCGGCATATAATGATTGTTCATGACTGGGGGGTACAATATGATCGTACAGTACAAAGAACAACGTGTAAAGATTCACGCAGGACGCTTGGCACACTCATCACCTCT